GATAATGTCAGAAAAGTTCTTCATGTATTGGGGAACCTGATGTGCCCATGGTGGTAGTTGTAAGCTTTCCATGATTCTTTTTTTTTTTTTTTTTTTTGAGATGGAGTCTCGCTCTGTTGCCCAGGCTGGAGTGCAGTGATGTGATCTCGGCTCACTGCAACGTCTGCCTCCCAGGTTCAAGTAGTTCTCCTGCCTCAGCCTTCTGAGTAGCTGGGAATTACAGGTGCCTGTCTCCATGTCCCGCTAATATTTGTGTTTTTAGTAGAGACGGGGTTTCACCATATTGGTCAGGCTGGTCTCGAACTCCTGACCTCAGGTGATCCACTCGTCTAGGCCTCCCAAATTGCTGGGATTACAGGCGTGAGCCACGCCTGGCTGACAGTTTTTAATGCAATGTATTGGAGGGGCAGAGTCATTTAAAGAAACATTCTTCATAAAACAAACAGCCATTTTTATTATGTTGTTGATTTAAGATATATGCCATTGAAATGAACTGATTTAAAATTTTTCTGGTTAATATATTTTCGCATATGTCTAGGTAAGTAGTTTTGAAAAGGCACCTTAATATTAATTATTAGATACTTTGTACTCCTGATCGCATTTGTGTGTATGTGTTTATATCTGTAGTTTTGCTTTGTTTTTTTTTTTTTTTTTTTCCCATAACAACAATACTTTTTATTTCTAGACAGAGCTCTCTGTTACCCAGGCTGGAGTACAGTGGTTCAATCTTGGCTCACTGCAACCTCTGCCTCCCTGGTTAAAGTAATTCTCCTGTCTCAGCCTCCCAAGTGGTTGGGATTACAGGCGCCCACCACCATGCCTGGTTAATTTTTTTGTATTTTTAGTAGAGATGGAGTTTTACCCTGTTGGCCAGGCTGGTTTCGAACTCTTGACCTCAGGTGATCTGCCTGCCTCAGCTTCCCAAAGTGCTGGGATTATAGACGAGAGCCACCGTACCCGGCCCATAACAGAACTTTAAAATGCAGTAGGATTTGATAGGGCTAGAGGATTTTTTTGTTTGTTTTTGAGACAGGATCTCAGTCTCTCACCTAGGCTGGAGTGCAGTTATGTGATCACAGCTCACTGTAGCCTCAACCTTCCAGGCTGATGCGATCCTGCTGCTTCAGCTTCCCAAGTTAGCTGGAACTTCAGGAGGCATGTGATTTGGGTATTTTTTGTGGAAATGGGATTTTGCCATATTGCCCAGGCTGGTCTCGAACTCCTGGGCTCAAGCAGTCCTCCTGCCTTGTCCTTCTAAAGTGTTAGGATTTCAGGTGTGAGCCACCTTGCCCAGATGGAGTATAGAGTTCAGTTTGTCACTAGATGTTTAGTTTGTCACTAGGAAGGTATATGAAAATACTAATAAATTTTGGCTTTGTTCCCTTCCAAGTCTAAATTGCTCTGTAATTGGGGGTGGGGAGTGGGCATTAATTTTTCAGCATACTATTTAGTGTTACTGGCCATGGAAACACCATTTAGGTGTAACAATTCATATATAGAAATTCCATTCAGCCTCTTCAGGTGCTTTGTCTAATATGTTTGGATGTTGTCCAAATGAGTTATTCTGTTTTTGATTATTGCAACTCTGGTGTTATGTGTAGGGTGCTGAAGGAAGGGAGCATCAGTATTGCTGATGGTTCTGTTCCCCAGCCCCATATCCACATATCTACACATACTAGCACTTTGGTGCAATTAAACATTGAAAACCATTTTGGCTGGTTACCTCTTTTTATGTAGGAGAACTATCAAGTGCCAGGTGGGTGACAGATGCTAGTGTCATATAGAACTTGGATTCTGAAGATGATGTTATAGTCTTAGTGATTTTGGATGTGAATATATATTCTTATCCTGGTTAGGTCATTTGTAGGTGAGTTTGAAGTTAGAGTGGGTACTCTTACCTGTTACATTTAAAACTCGTATGTTGGTGAATATTCATTCACATACAAGTTTCCTGGTTAAAGTTAGCAGTATACTTGACGTACATGATGGACCAGCTTTTCTAGTGTGAAAAAGAGAAGCTTAGTTTCTATGGCTTTAATGTGCTTTGCTTGTGAATATTGTGTATTCACCAGATAGGTTGTAGTAGAATTTAATTTTGAGCTGGTAATTTTGGAAAATACTAAAATTTTAGGATCATTAATATATACACTGTGCCCAGATATGACTGATAAATTGTATCAATGAATTAATGACTTCACCCCATGTTTTAAAACATGTTTAAAGTTTTAAACGTGTCCCAAAGTTTGAAGTATTATGTTTGTGCTATTATATATTCTTTTAGCAGTGTGGAAGCAGTCTTTTATAATAGTTGGGTATAGAGGAACCACTGGGCCTGCAGATTTTTTATTAGCTTTAGTTAGCTCTTGTCATATTTGCTCCAAGTGGTGCCTTTGAAGGTAGTTGCTGTTAACTCTTTGGACTCGGCCACATCTTTAAATTACTGGGCTCTTTATTTTAGGCCTCAGTGCTTGCTTTATAGCCATAGTCCAGTGGATCATGCTTAATGTGAAAGGTTATGTATAGAAGCTGTGCAACACTCTAATTTGCTTGCGGAGATTTTGCTTTCAAAAGTTGAACCCTGCAGTCTACTTTTGACAGCTGGGAATGTAACTGTTCTTCCTCTGTTGTGTCATAACTTATTTTTAAGATAGTAAACATTTTATTTTCGTATGTAGAACTATATGTTGGTGCTGCTTTAGGTTGTTTTCTTCCCCCCGCCCCGCCCCCAAAAAGGTGAATTGTTTTAGTCAGTATTAGGCTTGATTTTTGTAGTTGTAAAATATCTTCATTTCCTTTTATGAAGACTTAATGAAGAAAGTGAAAAGGCAGGCCACAGAATGGAAGAAGATAATTGCAGTACATGTAACGAAGAAAGGATTTATATATAGTATATAGAGTACTTTTATAAAGCAGTGAGAAAAAGACAGCCCATTTAAAAAATGGGGAAAGGCACTTATCAAAAGTGCCTTATCACTTAGCTTGATCATCAGTGAACGGTTTTTGTTTTTTTTTTTTTAAGTTTTATTTTCTTTTGTAGAGATGAGGTCTCACTAAGTTACACAGGTTGGTGTTGAACTTCTGAGCTCGAGCGATTCTCCCACCTTGGCCTCCCAAAGTGCTGGGATTATAGGCATGGGCCACGGCGGGTCCCTAATAATTAATCAACTATTTAAAAAGTATTCAACCTTATTTGTCCTCAGGAAATGCAAATTAAATCACTTCTTAGCTAGAATGGCTACAATTAAAAAGGTAACAGTATAAGTGGTCAAGGATTTGAAACAATGGGGACTTTCACTGCTGACAAAAGTGTAAATTGGTACAACCGTTTTGGAAAGCTGTTTGGTAATATCTGTTGAAGTTGAACGTATTTATACTCTTCTTGATATATAACAGAAATGCACACTAAAAAGACACATGTGAGAATGTTCATAGAGCATTATTTGTAATAGTAAAAAAACTGGAAACTATCCAAATATCCACCAAGAGTAGAATGGAGAAGTAAATTGTGGTATATTCATTCAATGGAATCATCTACAGCTGTGTTACCCAAAGTGCGATGCATAGATCAGCTGCATCTGCAATACCTGAGAATTTACCAGAAATGCAGAAGTTTAGGCTCCAACCCAGATATTACACAGAGTCAGAATCTACAGTTTAACAGGATCTCCAGGTTATTCTTATGTATAATAAAATTTGCAAACACAGCTTTAGTAATTCTCGAAATTGGTCCTGGACCAGCATCATCAGTATCACCTCATCAGCATCAGTGGTGGTGACACCTGTAGTCCCAGCACTTTGGGAGGACAACGCAGGAGGATTGCTTCAGCAAACCTTGCTTTGCAAGGCCAAGGCTGGGCAACATAGTGGGATCCCCGTCACTACAAAAAATTAAAAAATTAGGCGTGGTGGCACATGTCTGTAGTCTCAGCTACTCTGGAGGCTGAGGTGAGAGGATCTCTTGAGCCTGGAGGTTGAGGCTGCAGTGAGCCATGATCATACCACTGCACTCCAGGCTGGGCAACAAAGTGAGACCCTGTCTGCCCCTGCCACTTTTTTTTTTTTTTTTTTAAAGAGCAAATTCTCAGATCCAGCCTCAGACGTACTAACTCAGAAGCTCTGGAAATAGGGCCTAGCAGTCTGTTTCTTCAAGCCCTCCAGGTGATGTGGATACAACCTGAAGTTTGGAAATCTGCATAGAATTTACATTTCTAACAAGTTGACAGGTGATGCCAAGTTAGGAACCACACTGAGATGCCCTGCTTGCAGGGTTAGCCATATACTCTGTAAAGCTCCAGATAGTAGCCGGGTGCCATGGCTGACACCGGTAATCGCAGCTCGTTGGGAGGCTGAGGCGGGTGGATCATCAGGTCAGGAGTTCGAGACCAGCGTGGCCAAGATATTGAAACCCCGTCTGTACTAAAAATACAATAATTAGCCGGGCGTGGTGGCGCATGCCTGTAGTCCCAGCTACTTGGGAGGCTGAGGCAGGAGAATCGCTTGAACCCGGGAAGGGGAGGTTGCGGTGAGCTGAGATCGTGCCATTGCACTCCAGCCTGGGCAACAAGAGTGAAACTCTGTCTTTGGGGCGGGGGGGGAAAAAAGCTCCAGATAGTAAATATTTTAGGTTATGTAGACTTTCTAGTCTCTCTCACAGCTGCCCAACTCTGCTGTGGCACTAGGAAAACAGCCATACACAGTATGTACATGAACAGATATGGGTATTTACAATAAAACTTCACAGAAATAGCCTCCAGGCTGGATTTGTCTCATTTCTGGGGACCTTTGCTCTATAGCAATGAGAATAAATAGACCATGCAGAAAACATGAAAGAATCTTGAAACATGTTGCATAATGTTAGATGCAGAAAGTTAATACACATGATTACATTTTTATAGAGTTCAGAAGCAGGCAGAACAAATCTTTGCTATTAGAAATTATGAGAGTGCTGGGGGATGGTGGTGGTTATGATTAGAATAGGGCATGAGGGCCTTCTGGAGTGCTCAGAATGTTTTGTTTCTTGAGCCAAGGAAAGAATGATTCAGGCCGGGTGTAATGGCTCACGTCTGTAATCCCAGCACTTTGGGAGGCCAAGGTAGGCAGATCACTTGAGGCCGGGAGTTCAGGACCAACCTGGCCAACATGGGGAAACCCCATCTCTACTAAAAATACAAAAATTAGCCAGGTGTGATGGTGCATGTTTATAATCCCAGCTACTCAGGAGGCTGAGGCAGGAGAATTGCTTGAACCTGGGAGGTGAAGGTTGCAGTGAGCCAAGATCGCGCCACTGCATTCGAGTCTGGGCAACAGGGTGAGACTTCTATCTCAATTTTAAAAAAGAAAAAAGAAAAAATGATTCACATTCCTGTAGTAAAATTTGAACCTCATGGTAAGTAATTTAAAACATTTAAAACGTACTAAATGAATAGATACGTTATGGAAGAAAACTTGAAATTTGTGTGAATTTTAAAAATACGGGTTTCAAAGTCAAATAGACTTGTAGAGAGTAAGATTGTTCTTTGACCTCTAGGGTCCTTTGGATAAATTTGAGAAATATTAAAGATTTATAAAGATACATGGAATTTCCTTTGTCTCTTTAAGAAATAAAACACTGATCACCAAAACCCTTTTTGAGTGATTATATGCCCCATCCCTGTGTTTCTTCACATTAATTGTATTTTTTCCCTCTTCTTAATTTGGTTTGTCTTAGTGTATTCGTGCTTGCTTTATCTTTTTCCTGAGAGTAGTCATTTATACTTTTTGGTTGATTGTCAATTTATTGGTGGTTGTGCTATATGCTTTGCTTAGGGCTCTAGTATTCAAACTTTTTAGTCTCAGGATCTGTTTACATTCTAAAAATTTAAGGATTTTGAAGAGCTTTTGTTTATAAAGGTTGTAGCTATTGATATTTATCATATTAGAAATGGAGGAATAAATAATTTACTGACAAATAATAAACTAATTACATGTTAACATGTATAACAATTTTAACTGCATATGTACTTTTTTTTTGTTATTGAGATAGGATCCCACTTTGTCACCCAGGCTGAAGTGCAGTAGCCTTATCACGGCTCACTGCACCCTCACCCTTGGGGGTTCAAGTAATTCTCCCACCTCTCAGCCTCTTGAGTAGCAGAGACTACAGGTGCTCACCACCACACCCAGCTAATTTTTGTATTTTTTGCAGAGATAGGGTTTTGCCCTGTTGCCCAGACTGGTCTCCAACTCCTGGGCTGAAGTCATCTGCCTGAGTATATTTTCTGAAAATTGTGAGAAGACTATCAATATTTTACAGTTTATGCAAATCCTTTAATTCTGGCTTAATGAAACTGAATTCACATACATGCTTCTGTGTTCAGTTCTGTTGTGATATATTTCGGCTGAAGTATATGAAAACAGGTCTCACACAGACATGTAGTTGGAAAAGGGAGGAGTAATTAAATAGCTTTTCAGGTTTTTGTAGATATTCTTTGGTTTACACAAAAGCACAAGTGGTAGCTTTTAAAAGATTGATTCCATTATGAAATCTGAAGCCACATTAATGAATATTTTATATTCTGATATATTAAAACCCGTTGATCTAGCTTGCACTTTAAATTCCTCTTTTTTCCTCCTGTGTGATTTTGTAATTTCATTCATCCGTTATTTGGAAAATAAGGTTTACTCTGAGTAAAGTGAGTCTTCTCAATGTTGACACATTTCATTTTACAGTATCAAAAATCATGTTTGTTAGTATTGTCATTGATAATGTCAGAAAAGTTCTTCATGTATTGGGGAACCTGATGTGCCCATGGTGGTAGTTGTAAGCTTTCCATGATTCTTTTTTTTTTTTTTTTTTGAGATGGAGTCTTGCTCTGTCACCAGGCTGGAGTGCAGTGGAGCGATCTCGGCTCACTGCAGCCTCCAACTCCTGGTTCAAAAGATTCTTCTGCCTCAGCCTCCCGAGTAGCTGGGATTACAGACATGCGCCACCATGCCCAGCTAAGTTTTGTATTTTTAGTGGAGATGAGATTTCACCATGTTGGCCAGGATGGTCTCAGTCTCCTAACCTTGTGATCCACCCGCCTCGGCCTCCCAAGATGCTGGGATTACAGGCGTGACCAGCCGTGCCCGGCCAAGTTTTCTATAATTCTAATTTTCATTTAAAATTTGACTTTTTGTTATTGGCAACACGTGCCAGTTATTTTCCTTTATGTTCTTTGAGAAAATGTCAAATACCTAAATCTGAATAACCACAGTTTGTTGGTCAGTTCTTTCAAATAAAAATGATTATTCATTTAAAAAGTAGCTAGTTCAGCTTACAGATCCGTGGCACAGAAGGTTTTCCCTGAGCCGAAGTGCTATCTGTATTCTTCCCATTTTGTCACACACAGTGTTTAAAAGATGACTATTGAAGGGTGTATGTTTAATAAAGTTAATTTTTTTGCAACTCAGTCTTGCTCTGTTGCCCAGGCTGGAGTGCAGTGGCGTGGTCTCAGCACACAGCCACTCAGCTCACAACCTCCACCTCCTGGGTTCAAGCAATTCTGCCTCAGCCTCCTGCCCTGCTAATTTTTGTGTATTTTGTAGAGACAGGGTTTCACCATGTTGCTCAGGCTGGTCTGAAACTCCTGGGCTCAAGTGATCCACCCGCCTCGGCCTCCCAAAGTGCTGGGATTGCAGGTGTGAGCCACCACGCTTGGCTAATAAAGTTACTTTTTAATGCTTTTGTCAAGGACTTTTTTTTTTTCTTCAGATGGAGTTTAGCTTTTGTTGCCCAGGCTGGAGTGCAATGGCACGATCATGGCTCACCACAACCTGTGCCTCCCAGGTTCAAGTGATTAACCTGCCTCAGCCTCCTGAATAGCTAGGATTACAGGCATGTGCCACCATGCCCGGCTAATTTTGTATTTTTAGTAGAGAGGGGATTTCTCCATGTTGGTCAGGCTGGTCTTGCTCTCCCGATCTCAGGTGATCCACCTGCCCTGGCCTCCCAAAGTGCTGGGATTACAGGTGTGGGCCACTGTACCCACCCTATCAAAGACATCCTTAAGTGAATGCCTGGCGATGAAGAATATAATGACCACTAGTATAGTTTAGAGCCCTGTCTTAGTTTTATCCACCATTGATTTTATATCATCAGTGGAAATGTCAACACTGTTTAAAAAGGTGACTAGGCCGGGTGCGGTGGCTTATGTCTGTAATCCCAGCGCTTTGGGAGGCTGAGGCAGGAGAATCACCTGAGGTCAGGAGTTCAAGACCAGCCTGGCCAACACGGTGAAACCATGTCTCTGCTAAAAATACAAAAAATTAGCCGGAGTCGTGGGCACCTGTAATCCCACCTACTCAAGAGGCTGAGGCAGGAGAACTGCTTGAACCTGGGAGGTGGAGGTTGCAGTGAGCTGAGATTGCACCATTGCATTCCAGCCTGGGCAACAAGAGTGAAACTCTATCTCAAAAAATAAAAAAATAAAAAGGTGACTAATGTCTTAGTGGTATTATGAAACAGTTTTAATCTTGGGATGCACAGGGGCCCGCATACCACACCTGGTTTCTTAAGGGCTTTCTTCATAAATTATGTTATGTTGCATGAATATAAGTGTAATTACTAAGAGAATGTGTAATGGCGGGCTTAAACAAAAATGATCTGTTTTAAACATGCTGTAGAACGTTCTTTTCAAGATACTATGCTTTTTCTATAGGAATGTATCCTGTCAGGTATAATGTCAGTGAATGGCAAGAAAGTTCTTCATATGGATCGAAACCCTTACTATGGAGGAGAGAGTGCATCTATAACACCACTGGAAGATGTAAGTGTCAGTCAAATTTCTTTTTTTTTTTTTTTT